GGATCAGACCAGTGAGGGTCCATCTAGTCCAGCATCCCGTCTCACACAGTGGCCTCAACCAGTTCCTCTGGAGGACCAACAACAGGGCAGAGAGGCAGAGGCCTTCCCCTCATAAGGACATCAGAAGAGCCCTGCTGGGTCAGACCAGTGAGGGTCCCTCTAGTCCAGCATCCCGTCTCACACAGTGGCCTCAACCAGTTCCTCTGGAGGACCAACAACAGGGCAGAGAGGCAGAGGTCTTCCCCTCATAAGGACATCAGAAGAGCCCTGCTGGATCAGACCAGCGAGGGTCCATCTAGTCCAGCATCCTGTCTCACACAGTGGCCTCAACCCGTTCCTCTGGACGACCAACAACAGGGCATGGAGGCGGAGGCCTTCCCCTCATGAGAACATCAGAAGAGCCCTGCTGGATCAGACCAGCGAGGGTCCATCTAGTCCAGCATCCTGTCTCACACAGTGGCCTCAACCAGTTCCTCTGGGGGGGCCAACAACAGGGCAGAGAGGCCGAGGCCTTCCCCTCATAAGAACATCAGAAGAGCCCTGCTGGGTCAGACAAGTTCATCTAGTCCAGCATTCCATCTCACACAGTGGCCCCAACCAGTTTCTCTGGAGGGCCAACAACAGGGCAGGGAGGCCGAGGCCTTCCCCTCATAAGAACATCAGAAGAGCCCTGCTAGATCAGACCAGTGAGGGTCCATCCAGTCCAGCCTCCTGTCTCATAGAGCGGCCTCAACCAGTTCCTCTGGAGGGCCAACAACAGGGCAGAGAGGCCGAGGCCTTCCCCTGATGTTGCCTCCTGGCTCTGGGATTCTGAGGCTTAGTCCCTCTGAATGTGGAGTTTCCCCTCATCCACCGTGGCTAGTATAAACTGACAGACTTATCCTCCAAACCACCTCTGAGCGTCTCTTGCCTGGAAAGCCCCATGGGGTCACCGTACGTCAGCTGCAGCTGGACGGCCCTTTCCACCACCACCAAGCATTGAGCGGCTGAGGATTTTTTACAAAGTGGTTTTTTACTTTATTTTTCAGTTAAAACAAACAATAAAATAGGAAATCGCCACCCCCACCCCCCAAAAAAGATGCCTTCTAATGCAGAACCCATTAGAAGCCCTGGCAAACAGGCAGGATTTGCAGCGCCTCCTGAAGGTCTCCAAGGAGGGGGCCCTCCTCACCTCTTCGGGGAGCCCCTTCCACAGAACTGGAGCCACGACGGAAGAGGCCCTGGCTCTGGTTAGGCCAGAGGGGCCACCCTGCGTGGTGGGATAACCAAAGGATGGCTGCCTGACAACCTTCGTTGGCACGCAGGGATGGATGGAAGGAGACTTTCGTGTTTAGTGTCATCCTGTAATACTGGAGAGGCCTCGATTCGAATCCCCCCCCCCACTTGCCATTCAGCTCCCTGGGTGTCCTTGGGCCAGTCATGCCCTCTCAGCTTAGCCTACTTCACAGGGTAGTTGTGGGATAAATATTTCTTTGGAAATATTCTCTTGGCTCTTTATTTTATTTATTTTATTTATATTTACATTTATATCCCGCCCTATCCCGAAGGCTCAGGGCGGCTAACAGGGGCACACAGTGCCAGGTTAAAACAATAACATATAATTTAAAAACAATAAAATACAATAAAATATAAACAATTTACAGCAAGAAGGGAAGTTCTTAACCTCACATAGCTACCGACGATCTTATCCTCAGAGCCGTGTCCAGCGCCACGCTCCACCCTTGGGGGCCAGGCAATCAGATGTTAATTCGCTAGGGCATAGGGGTACAGATGGAATAGTGGTGGCAGCGGCTCCTATCTAAAGGCCTGGCAGAAGAGCTCCGTCTTGCAGGCCCTGCGGAACTGAGAAAGGTCCCGCAGGGCCCGGATCTCCTCCGGGAGCTCTTTCTTCTCCTATCCCCTGCTGCCACCTGTCTTTTTGACTCTTCCCTCTCTCCCATATTTTTCCACATTTTTTTTCTCGCACACACAAAAACTCTCCTATTATTTGCTTATTTACTTAAGTTCATTCATACCCCTTTCCTCCCTCTGACGGGGACCCAGAGCCGCCCAGTGTTCTCTCTTCTACCCTAATCACCACCCCCAAAACAACCCCGTGGGACAGGTTGGGCTGAGGGTTTGTACCTTGCCCAAGGTTACCCAGCAGGCTTCTCTGCCAGAGTGGGGACTCCGATACCCTTATATTTAGGGAGAGGCAGAAACTGGACCGCCAAGCAAAATTCATCACAGATTCTGCACTGTTCGTAGTTTGCGAACGAAAGTTCGTGACGGGTCTACCATTGTGAACTTTCACAAACTTTTAAAGCACTTTGTGGCGGTTCGTGGGTAGAGCAAGACATCGCATAAACAGCTGAGCGGCAGCCGGCGGGGAGATAAGGCCAGGGCTGATGTTGCAAGTAGAGGGGGAAATATATTTTATTATTCAGCTAAAAAATTCCTTACATGTTTTGTTAACAGCCCTCTTCAGGGGAATCTGTTCCTGAAAGACTTAACAGATTCCCCTGAGGATGCCTGTTGGTGAAACGCATATGGAATTTTTAGCTGAATAATAAAATCCATTCATTCCTTTAATTGCATCCTCAGCCTTCACTTTATTTGTCTCTTAGTGGCTGGCGCACTCCTGGGACAATAAACGGGATGTAGAGGCCAGGGCCTTCCCCTTTGTCTGCTCCCCTTCAAAACCATCTATGCTTGCAGCCATCGCTCGGTCCATTGGCAGAGTTCCACAGTTTGAACTACCGTGGAACTCACTGCCACTTGATAAGGGAGGGCATGCCTAAAGGATGCAAGCAAGATTGACCCCCCCTTCCCTTTCTCTTTTCACTCCAGAGGATTCCCCTCCAGGTATCTCCAAGGAGATTGCCAACGTCTTGGCCAGCATGCCCGGTTTTGAAGTGGACTCCTCCCTGGGCTTGGACGAGGACCTGAAGATCGAGCCGCTCACGTTGGACGGACTCAATATGCTCAACGACCCCTACACCCTTCTGACCGACCCGGCAGTCGAGGACTCCTTCCGTACCGACCGGCTTTAGTGGGGGGGGGGACCCCGAGAACACCCGGTGAGGGCACAGAGCCACAGAGAAACAAAAGGCCGTTTCCCACTCGCGAAACTCTGGGTGTTGCTCAAGCAGGACATTTGTGGGGGGGACAGAGATTATGCGTGCCTCCTCCGATCACAGTGCCCTTCCTTAGAGAGACCTGTGGCTTCTAGCTCACAGTCTGCGCCGGAATCAGATTTTACAGAGAGCGAGCCCGGATTGCAAAGTACTTGAGGGGTTGGTGTTGGGGAGATCAGTCCCGGAGCCCAGGTGTAAGAACATCAGAAGAGCCCTGCTGGATGAGACTAGTGGTCCATGTCTCACACAGGGGCCTCAACAGGGCATAGAGGCCGAGACCTTCCCCTGATATTGCCCCCTGGCACTGGGATTCAGAGGTTGACTGCCTCTGAATGTGGCGGTTCTCCTCCGTCTCCGTGGCTAGTAGCCGCTGATAGACCTGTCCTCTATGAATCTGTCTAATCCCTTTTTAAAGCCAACACTACATCCTCTGGCAATAAATTCTAGGGGAAGGGAAGAGGCTTCCGGGCCCACGGAGAGGGGTGAATGTCGCGAAGCATGATCTCCTAGCCCTGAGCAAGGGAGAAATTCTGGCATTTAAAATCCTCCAAATTGTGCATTTTTGGGGTGGGGTGGGGAATGGACTGCATCGAAGAGTAGCATTTTGGTCTCCTTGCACCAAGGGATGTGTGTCGTTTGTGTATGCGTGTGTGTGAACCTGAGGCCAGTGTCCATCCCCAATCCCAACCGGTTCCAGCCATTTCTTTGCCTCTGTGCGTGTGTATGTGTGTGTGTATGTATGTACACCTACACAACTAGCTAGCGACCTATTTGTCACGCGTCGAGGGGTGGGGTGGGTGGCAGTCTTGGGGGGGGGTTATTTTGCAAATCATGTTTTTTAAATTCTGTACATAACTCTTCCATCTGTCTCGCCCCTCGCCCCTCCCTCCCTTTCAGCTGCCATGTACAGAGGGGGAGGGAGAGAGGGCGGGGAGGTCTTGTAAAGCACTTGTAACTTTGTATTCTTCTTGTCTGGCGTCTGTACTTGAGTTGAGGGGGGGCCAGGGGAGGACGGGGGCTGTGGGGGTGTGGCACTTGCCCCCCGCACCCTCCTCCTCTCCCCCCGCCACGAATGAGAAATACCAGAGTGATTTTATTATTTTTTTTAAATATATTATATGTTAATTATAATAAGTTTCTGCCTGTTTGTGTGCTTCATTGGGACGGGCTCCTGGGGTTCCATCTAACCGTTCAGGGGTGGTCAGATCAAAAGTCGGGCTAAATCAGCATTCGGTTTCCACAGAGGTCATTTTGGGGGGAATCGCGGGGGATCGCAGTTCCCCCGGGTGAGGTACGGGGGCGGGGCACATGACGAAGCCCCGCCCCCTGCTTCCGGCCCTCATTCAGCCAGGAGGAGGCAGGAGAAGAGGGAGGGTAAGTTGCTT